CTGACACAGATGGGTATTTGACTGGATCGAGTGTTCATATTTTTTTTCAAACCATTATAGTTATCTGAGCTCTGTGATTCCATCCATTACTTGGATATTCTGTAAAATCAAGAGCAAGCATTAATTAGGAGATAATAGAAAGCTTTGCTGATTTGCAACAGTACTAATCTTGTCACCATGTGAAATAAATGATAGGATTAATTCTGAATAGTTTATTCTGACAAAAACCCTAAATGACTGCCGAGGGAAAAGTTTAATGTGCCTGCTACTGCTTTTATGCTGCACATATTTCAAATTGTACATCTAAATAATTGTTTAAAAGTTACATACTTATTGAATCAGATAAATAGTAAAGCAAATGAAGGAGTCAGGATTGTGGTGCAGTGCAAGTCTTTACCGGTGACAGGTTTAAGCTTCACTCTTTAGAGGGTCCTCTGAGAACCAGTGAGGAACATCGTACTCCAACCACACACTCTCCTCACTCCTTCCCCCACTGCTAACATACCCATGGCACACCCACTATGCCAGGACCATAGAGATCAAAAAGGATATTGAAGAACAGGAAGGAGTCAGAGAAAGGAGCTGTGAATGATTAAGGGCATGGAAAAACTCTCACATGAAGAGACTGAAAAGGTGTGGATTGCTTACATGAGACAGGAGGTGTCTAAGACATGATAAAAATATATAAAATTAGGAATAGTATAAACACTTTAACACAATATGTACATTGACTGAAATGCAACGCCACTAGATGCCACTGCAGGCAAGAGCGTTGCAAGACTCAAAAAGGGACTGGACGTTTTTATGGTTAGTAAGAATATCCAAAGTTCTAACAGTTAATACTAAAAAAGGGTATGCGGTGGGGAGAGAAAACCTTATGCTCAAGGCTTACACCAATCTTTAATAGGAGTTAGGCACATTATCCCATCCACATCTGCTTACTAAAGGGTTCTTACTCTTTTGTGTGATGTATCTGGTGCTGGCCTCTCCTGGAGACAGCTTACTGCACTAGATGAACCACAAGCATGGATATGATTTTGTCATGGTAAAATTAGGCAAAATTCACAGAACAGGCATGGGAAAAATGTACACAATCAGGGTATAGTCATAGCAACAACAAAAATGTGTACCAATTGAACAATAAAGTATTACAATGCAGAAGCATTGACAATTGAAATGAGGCAGGGAGTGAAGGTGGGGCTCTCCCCAAGCCCCGCCCCTGGGGCTGAAGCCCAAATTCACGGACCTCTTTTAAAATCACAGAATCTGTGACCTCATCGTAGCCCTAACCATGGGCCTGATCCAGTCTGGCATTTCTTACGTCCCCTTTTACCATTTAGCTGGCTTTTTTTTTTTTTTTTTTTTTTGTACCTTAAATTCTCTAAAATTAGGATTTACTAATGAAAAACATCAGATTTAGATTTCCTGTGAGTGATATTTTAGGAAACTTAGAAATAAACTCACTTTGCTTAAAGTAAAACTATCTTAAATCTTAGATTATAAAACAGAGTTTACCAAATCAGACAGTAAACCAATGAATGCATGGTCTAGTGATTAAAGTTCATGACATGGAGTCGGGAGACCTGGGTTCTTTTCCTGTCACTGCTCTAACAAGCAAACCATAGAGTCACTAAATTTTTCTGGCCTATTTCAGATTTAATTATTCATTTAATTAAAGTGAAACAACTTCAGCAGAAGAGATTGAGGAAGACTCATATCAGAATGTTTCATAGTCCAGTGGTTAGTGCACTCACTAGGAGGTGGCAGATCCCTGTTCAAATCTCTACTCATCATCGGACATAGGGAGAACTTAAACTGAGAGTCTTCCATATCCTGGATGAGTACCGTACCCACTAGGCTAACGGTTATAAGGGAGAACATCCTCCTCCCCCGCTTCATGTGTTTAATGTGAACTCACCTGAGGGGCCTGATCCAGTAGGTGGTTTTTGAGCATCCCTACCAGCATAAAACCTGGCATGCAATTCAGGCAGCTGAATGGTATACTTTCCCTTGCTTTGTGAATTGCAAATAGAAATGGGAATCTCCCTGCACCCCAGACTTAGGCACCTATCTCTGCGAGAGTGTGGGGTTTAGCATACACCTTTCTGCTCAGCATCTTCCATGCTCTAATTTAGGTGGCTCACAGTCTATTGTGCTAGCTTTGCAGATCACATTCCCAGGTGCCTCTCTCCCCATTCATTATATAGGAGTCTAGATGCCTAACTCAGGCTTTTTGGATTGCAGGGTTATTCCTGTGATTTTTCTGGACACTGTGACACTCAACATCCAAGTCCTTTTGTGGATCTGGGCCTTAACCTTTCTGTGCCTCAATTTACCTGACAGTAAAATGGGCATACTTATCGATTGCAAAGGATGTTATGAGGCTTAATTCATTACTGTTTAAAAAGTCCTTTGACATCTTCCTGTGCAAGTGCTAACAATTACATTCCTTCATTGCAAATTCGGACCATGATTCTGCCATAAAGTCAGGGTGGCTGGACTCATCTGCATGCATGAAGCCCCGTTTACTTTGAAGGGGCTCTGCATAGATGCGAGGGTCTACTCACCCGGAACTCATAGTAGCCTTAGGCAGCATAAAACAAAGTAGAATCGTGCCCTAATGCGTTCATAAAACAACTGTCTTGTGCTCTTCCTTTTAAAAAGTGTGTGTGTGAGAGGGAAAAAATCCAGGCATCTTTTCTTCCAGCAGCCAGCACCTTATCCTATGGATTAACCATTTTTTTTTAATCTAATGAAATATGCTTATGAGAGTGAATATGATGTAAGTGGAATATGCTTTATGCAAAAGGTCTCTTGTAAGGTATCATTACAAAGGTTATAACCTACTGAATATATTCCTACTATTTGTAGGCATGTATCTGTGACAGGTTGGGTCACAGAGGCCCCTTTGGGACTGTCATCTGATATGCTAAGATTACCTCTGAGCCCATTTTCCCTGCCTGTTTGGGACTCCAGAACCCTGCCTTGTTGAGCCAAACATGCTAGCCTGCTGCAACACAGACTCAGGTCTGGTCCACAACCCCAAAGCTGCAGACTTTAACTAAAAACAGCTCAGCAGGTTTCCTATCTCCAGCACCCAGACATAGAAATAATACATGCAAACAAATAGGATGAACACACTCAATAGATTATAAGATTTGTAATACCTTACAAGTTTCAGAGTAACAGCCGTGTTAGTCTGTATTCGCAAAAAGGAGTACTTGTGGCACCTTAGAGACTAACCAATTTATTTGAGCATAAGCTTTCGTGAGCTACAGCTCACTTCATCGGATGCATACTGTGGAAAGTGTAGAAGATCTTTTTATATACACACAAAGCATGAAAAAATACCTCCCCCCACCCCACTCTCCTGCTGGTAATAGCTTATCTAAAGTGATCACTCTCCTTACAATGTGTATGATAATCAAGTTGGGCCATTTCCAGCACAAACCCAGGTTTTCTCACCCCCCCCCCCGCCCCACACACACAAACCCACTCTCCTGGTGGTAATAGCTTATCTAAAGTGATCACTCTCCTTACAATGTGTATGATAATCAAGTTGGGCCATTTCCAGCACAAACCCAGGGTTTAACAAGAACGTCTGGGCGGGGGGGGAGGGAGTAGGAAAAAACAAGGGGAAATAGGTTACCTTGCATAATGACTTAGCCATTCCCAGTCTCTATTCAAGCTTAAGTTAATTGTATCCAATTTGCAAATGAATTCCAATTCAACAGTTTCTCGCTGGAGTCTGGATTTGAAGTTTTTTTGTTGTAATATAGCAACTTTCATGTCTGTAATCGCGTCACTTCAATCTCTCTGGTCACACGATTACAGACATGAAAGTTGCTATATTACAACAAAAAAACTTCAAATCCAGACTCCATCGAGAAACTGTTGAATTGGAATTCATTTGCAAATTGGATACAATTAACTTAGCCATTCCTAGTCTCTATTCAAGCCTAAGTCATTATGCAAGGTAACCTATTTCCCCTTGTTTTTTCCTCCCCGCCCCCGACATTCTTTGCATAATTAAAGATTATGGTGATTTAGAATCTTGATGGCTCCCATTGACCCAGACAATTGGTTGTAAATGGTTTATTTACCTGCAAACCTTCCTGTATGTGTGGGCCAACCCAGGAAGAATGCAGACTGGGGGGGGGTCTTACAGTGACATGTGACCATGTCACATGATGCTGGAATCCATCTTAATTCTTGTACTTTTCCATTGATGAGGCAGGGGTGGGGACAAGCACAGGGAAAAGATTCCCACCTTGTGCCAAAGCTATAAAAGGGGGTGGAGCAGAACAAAAGGGGCTGCCAGTCATGAGAAAACCCCTGCTTACCAGCTGAGATGTCTGCTGGATCTAACAAAGACTGTACTGCGGAAAGGATTGGGCCCAGACTAGGAAGGAGTCTAGTCTGTGAAAGAAGCTTACTGGAACATCTCTTGGGTGAGATATTACCTGTAGGCAGTTTCTTAATGTATTAGGCTTAGACTTGCGTGTTTTGCTCTATTCTGCTTGGTGACTGACTTTTTTCTGTCTGTTATTACTTGAAACCACTTAAATCCTACTTTTTATACTTAATAAAATCACTTTTATTAATAAACCCAGAGTAAGTGATTAATATCTGGGGAGCAAACAGCTGTGCATATCTTTATCAGTGTTACAGAGGGCGAACAATTTATGAATTTACCCTGCATAAGCTTTATACAGAGTAAAACGTATTTATTTGGGGTTTGGATCCCATTGGGAGCTGGGTATCTGGGTGCTGGTGACAAGTAACCCGCTGAGCTGTTTTTAGTTAAAGTTTACAGCTTTGGGGGCGTGGCCCAGACCCTGGGTCTGTGTTGCAGCAGGCTAGCGTGTCTGGCTCAACAAGGCAGGGTTCTGGAGTCCCAAGCTGGCAAGGAAAACGGGCTCAGAGGTAATTTCAGCACATCAGGTGACAGTCGCAATGGGAACTCTGTGACCGAACCCGTCACACAAGGGTCTACTCACCTAGAACTCATTGTAGCCTTTAGTAGTATAAAACAAAGTAGAATCATGCCCTAATGCGTTCATAAAAACAACTATCTTGTGCTCTTCTGGCTTGAAGTGTGACACTACAAACATAAACCATAAAAGAGAAAAATAAATTGTGAGACAGACTTTAAAACTGCCCCATATAAGTCCTCACAAATGTTTTTAGCCCTTTGGAAACTAGCCAAATCCCAACAAGATGGCACCTGGGGATTAGATATCTTCCAACAAGTTGGAGGGGCCAATAGGGATGCTGTGCTGGGGAAGAGGGAGCCTTTCTGCCTTTATGGATGTGTGGCTGAGATTTTTGCCAAAAGTCCTACTGGTGCCGCTTCCTCTCTGCCAGGAAAAGTCTCTCCCCCCTCAAATTGACCCAAATTTCCCTTGCTGCTGGTTGCCAACTACTCCCTGAATAAAAAGGGTGCAGGTAATATGCATGAGCAGCTGAGTCTGGTAGAACTGGCACAGAGCCCAAGACGCTCTATATTTATTTATTTCTATAAAGGGAGAGAGAACAGAGTCCAGCTAGGGTAAGGAGAGGGTGAAGACCTAAGAACAGGTATACTCTTCATTCCCCACCTGCAGAACACCAACGAGAATACCTGTTCTTGCTGAGAAGACATTATGCAAATAACTCTGAACACTGCATGGCTAGCAACAAGTTGTAACAACTGTCTTTGTTTCCCTCTCTTCTAGAGTATGCTACATTACACGTCCTCCTTCCATTTGTACTAACAGTGGATTTTTTGAGGGGGCCAAATAGAAAAGGTTTTCAGCGCTACTACTTTCCTAACACTTCCTGGTGGGGGGCTCAGCACTTTTGAAAATGAGGCCATTAAAGTGCAGTCTTTTTATGGTTCCATATTGCAGTGCAAACCCCGTGGTGCTCTGATATCTGATCTCTGTTAGTACATTGGAGCTCCAGCTCAACAGGCCATTGGCATCAATGCCTCATTCAGTCACTGCTAGCATAAAGGCACCAAGGCTGTTTGGAGCCACCCTCAAAATACTAGCCAGACTTGTCTACACCATTCAAGAATCAGTCGGGAAATGACAGCCAAAATTGTTAAGTACAGTTTTAGCACTACAAGTGCCGACACTTGTAGAAGTGCCACTGCCCCTCAAAGAATACTTAAACCATATGCCAAAGTGTGGCTTATACATCCTGTGCCAAATTCTGTTGAGATACCATTCAGAGGTTCTCTGCTACCTTGCTTGAGACAGATGACTCTGCTAGCTCTGAAAGATTTGTCCCTTTGAAGCAGGGTAGTTTAGTCCATTTTGAGACAATGTATCATTGTGGAGCAACAAGCGGAGAGCTCGCTAAGTGTAAAGGATGGCCAAACAATACGTTTCTGGTCTGAAGAGACCAACAGAAACAAAAATATCAGCATCACTGAAAATGTTACACTAGTCAATACTGATCTGACTGGAAGCCATAACCTGAGCACTCAGACATCTGCTCATGTCCAATTCCCAGGCAGAAGATGCACTGAACATTCTCATTAGCTAGAAATCATCAGTTAGATATCCTTTTGCCACATGAACATCATTAGATGCAAATGAGCAGTCTTCCTCCTGATTGAGAGATTGCAGTATGACAACCTCCTAAAATACAAAACGAGATCCTTGAAGCAAAAAGCTTCAAAGTTCAAAACTGAAGCCACAGAAGAAAGAAGGTGTGAGAAAAAAGGAATCGAAGTGCTAAAGCAAAACATTGAGATGAAGCACCAGACGTGTAGACATTGGAAGTACAAGAACACAAGGCAAGGGTTCTCCAAGGTCTCCAGAGACCAAAGACTCCTTGCTTAGCATCAACCACAAGGCCTAAAAATAAAATTAATGAGGAAACAAAATTGGATGTCTGAAAAGTAGAGAGACAAAAGGATACTCAAAGCTGACTAAAAGCTAGACAGCATGAAAAGCAGAGCTGCACCTAAAGTGAGTGCATTTGCTGACTTCGGTCAAAAAGGCACTAACCAGAAGACTCCTCAGGTCAGTGCTTAAACTCCTAAATCACAAGTGGAGGGAGAGGCTTGTGCACACTGCTTAATTTGTAATGAAAGAGGTGCTGGGGCTCAAGAAATTTTTTTACATTCATAACTGATGCAGTAGCCCAGAGCTGCTAGGGCTACAAACTACCAAGCCTGGAGGTGCCAGCACAAATTAAGCACTGCTTGCTTACCACCTCCAACCAGTACTGCTGACCTTGCAGATCAACAATTTTAGAGATTGGGGAGTTCTACTTGTCTTATGTAAGAGCAAACAAAACCCAGGAGTGAGAATCTTGCCAGAATGTTCAAGGCAAGTCTTCTTCCTTTCCACGTATCGCCTTCATTCGTTCTTCTCTGGTTATCTCTCTTCCTCCCAATGTGCACATCTGGATTTAGCTCAAGGGCCAAGTGGGATTTAGCCCTAAACTGTCATTAGAAACAAAGGCAAAGAAACGCGCTTTACACCCATGACCCCCAAGCCTGCAAACACTTACACAGCTGAGTAGGCCCACTGCAGTACAGGCGGCCGCTCAGGCACAAGCCTACAAGAGCCAGGCCAGGATTGTTGCTGGCAGCCGCTTGTTAGGTAACAGGGAGCACAGATTCCAGAGTCGCCGCCGTGTTAGTCTGTCTCCGCAAACAAAACAGGAGGACTTGGGGCACCTTAGAGACTAACACATTTATTTGAGCATGAGCTTTCCTGAGCGACAGCTCACTTCTTCGGAGAAGCGCTGCACTGCGGCGGGGCGGGCACTGCCTCTGGCTGGCTATCGTCCCACGCCTTCGCAAGCCAGCCCCTGGCTGCTAGGGCGGCCCGCAGAGCCCGGCTCAGGCGCAGGCAGCAGCGGGAGGCTGGAGCCCCATAGGGCTGCTACACCTGCAGCAGCCGCGACACCGGCAAACCCGCCTCGCGCGCTGAGCTGCGCGTGCCGCGCCACCAGCGCTAAGGAGCAGCCGCCGCCCGCGCGCAGCGTAAGCAGCTGCCGTCGCGAACACCGCCGCCGCCGCGCTTCGCGCCAGCGACCCTCTGCTGCCCTTCTCCGATTGGCTCACTCAGCCGTGCGCGTGACAAACGCGTGGCCTCCGGTTGGCCGCTGGGGAAGCTCATGTCCGAAGGAGGGTTGGAGGCGGGTCGCTGTTTCCTAAGCTACAGCGGAAGAGGAGGAAGCTGGTAGCAGCAGCCGCATGTGGGACGCGCTCTTGCCCTGCGATTGGCGGGGCAACTTTGCTCCTGGTCACGTGGCGGCTTGGCTCGCGCTGGCTGGCTGGCGGGTTGTTGCCTTGGCGACAGAGGACTAAGGGGCGGGGTCACCGCCTCGCTGCGCCGCCGCCGCCGCCTCTGAGCGCGCGGCCCCGCCACCGGCAGCGCCGCCCAGGAGGAGCTGTCGCGGCAGGAGCGTCCGCCGCCCGGGCGAGCGCGGGGCGGGGGCAGAGCGGGGGCGCGCCCATGGCGGGGGGGTGAGCGCGGGCGGGGCGAGCGGCTCGCGCTGGCGGCGGCGGCGGCGGCGGGCGGGCGCCGGGCGGGAGGATGCGCGAGTACAAGGTGGTGGTGCTGGGCTCGGGCGGGGTGGGGAAGTCGGCGCTCACGGTGCAGTTCGTCACCGGCACCTTCATCGAGAAGTACGACCCCACCATCGAGGATTTCTACCGCAAGGAGATCGAGGTGGACGCGTCGCCCTCGGTGCTGGAGATCCTGGACACGGCCGGCACCGAGCAGTTCGCCTCCATGCGGGACCTCTACATCAAGAACGGCCAGGGCTTCATCCTGGTCTACAGCCTGGTCAACCAGCAGAGCTTCCAGGACATCCGCCCCATGCGCGACCAGATCATCCGCGTCAAGAGGTGACACCCCCCCCCCCCCCCCCCGCCTGGGAGCCGCCCTGCCCCGTGCCCCCGCCCGGCCCGGCTCGCCGCCCCGCCCCGCCCTGCAGCCGCCGCCGCCAGCCCGGCTTCCCCGCCCCACCCAGCCCTCCGCCCGCAGGCTGGGGCCGCCCCTGCCCGGCCGGGCTGCGCCCACCACCTCTCGCCCCCTGCGGCTGCCCGCGGCCTGGTGGGACGGGGGTGTTAAGCGGGGACTCGCTCGTTACAAATTGCCGGGCGGGCGGTTTCTCGCCGCTCTTCCCGGTCTCCTGGAAACTCATCTGCGGGAGCGGGGCCTCCAGACCCAGCCGCTTGCCCTGGCCGTGGGCTGAAGCTTGGCTTGGTCCCGAGGGCGGAGGATGGGAGCGGGGCCGGCAGGAGATGCTGATTCTCCTGGGGACTTTGTGGCACAGACAAGTTAGCGATTTGCCTGTCTGAAATGTGCCAGGCTGCTAATCCCAGTGCAGGCGCGGGACTGCCCTTAGTATAACCCGGTGGCTGTGGGGGAGGTAGCTGGTATTTGGATGTCACCCACAAAATCCTTTCTTAAAAGTACTTTACTAATCAATTATTTGGCCAGGAGGAATCCTACAGTGTGTGTGCACTACATACATATTTAACTGAATACAAAATATACCTCAACAGATGACTGCATAGATTTTACTTATCCTCCCACACCACTTCAAGGAACCAGCGTCCAAAACCCCTTCCTTAGTACAAAAACTCTGTATTTAAGGAACACTGTGATGCTTAGGCCTCATCTACACTCTGATTTCTCTTACATTTTCCCTGCCTGTATTGCTACCGTTGTAGCTTTTGTCATAATAGCAGTGGTTGGTGAATTATGGTATATGGGCCATCTGTTTTTAACCACTGTATCATTGAGTTATGATCTGAGAATGGTTGGGTGACACTGACTGAAATATAAGTGACCAGCGTACTTTAATGCTACCACTAGTTGAGCTGCACTAATGGCAGTACAACTAACCGAAATTTTTGAGACGTCCATGTCGAGGAGAGCAACAAGGAGTCCGGTGGCACCTTAAAGGCTAACAGATTTATTTGAGCATAAGCTGTCATGGGTAAAATCCCCATTGCTTCAGATGTGGGTGAGGACGTACCTGTAGCTGGGTTTATTCCTGCCTGTGTAGACAGAAGTAACTGTCAAAGAACCATGTTTAAGCCTAAGTACCAACCAAGGTTAAATCATGGTTCTCCAACACAGACACTTGTTTTCTCCATATATATGGAAGAAAACCCCTTGTAATGTAATATAGTATGGCCACAACTGTGTTTCCATCTTTCTTAATGTAGTCAGGTCTTAGAGCAACAACATTTAATCATAGGTTTCAGAGGAACAGCCGTGTTAGTCTGTATTCGCAAAAAGAAAAGGAGTACTTGTGGCACCTTAGAGACTAACCAATTTATTTGAGCATGAGCTTTCGTGAGCCACAGCTCACTTCATCTGATGAAGTGAGCTGTGGCTCACGAAAGCTCATGCTCAAATAAATTGGTTAGTCCCTAAGGTGCCACAAGTACTCCTTTTCTTTTTGCGAACATTTAATCATGTAAGTATGCTCATTACATTATCCATGCAAGCTGCCATTTGAGTTTCTAAGGTAGAAGTAAATATTATAATGGGTGGGGGGAGATCAAAATTCTCATTTCAAGGAAGATTTCTGAGTTCCTGGGTAATAATTCCCTGTACAAGTGTTTTATAACTTACCATAGAAGATTTTTTTCTCTTCATTTCATTTGATGTAGTAGGGAAATTTAAAGAAGGAGGTGGAATTTTCACATGGGCCAAAATGATTTAAGAGCACAAGCCTGATTGAAAGTCAGTTAAACTTTATCTCTATTATGCCATTCACTGTTTCCCCACTTAAGGATTTTTTTATTTATTTAAATAATTAGCTGTTATGGGCTTTCACATTTATTAAATTCCTATCAGATTTGCTGAGCAAATCAGTCAAAAACTGATCTTCCTGTCAGATCCCAAATTCAGTTGGGATTGGAAAATTTGAAATTGCCACTTTTGCAGCTTACATCATAACCAGTAACAGAGATTCTGCAATCAGACCTAAATGTACAATTTGTAGATAGCTGAAGCAGAATAGAATCTAGCTTGAACAACCTTAGTTGACTTCAGTCAGCACTGCTACCAGTAGATCCACACATGCCTCTCCTTTTTTTTCTGTTGCCGTCTACTCTTACATCTTTTATTATTGTAACTCTTTCACATTTGTAATTGGTGCGCTGTGGGATAGTTGTATGAGCAAGATGTCTTAATACTACAGTGCTTCATAGAAATTAAAACTAATGCAGGTCTGCAGCTGCTGATGGAAATACTTCCCCAATCACGCAACTTTAAATGGGGACTTGAGCTGTGGTTAAGAAGGTGGCACACCAACTTTAAACAAAGGCATTTTTTAAAAAAAATGCTAGCTAAAAGTCATTTTGGGTTCTAATGTACTGACCATTAGCCTCCATGCCAACTTCTGCAGTTTTATGATTCCTTTTTCATTTTTCAGTTAAGTATTTCAACCTTTTTAGTTTTAGTAAACTTAAGTATAGACTTGTAACCATAGGAAGTTTTAAAAAAAAAAATCGGATGTCATTAAATTGAATGTTGAAAGTGACATAAGCTAAACCAAAAAAGACACTGGAATAAGTGTGTACACGCAGAGATTATAGTGATATAATTATACTGGTATAGTTGTGGTGGTGAATTTCCCCATGTACACAAGCCCATAAACTCAGTCCTGTTTATGAGGGTTAGGGTTTTATGTCCTGACCCTGCAAACACTTACACATGTGCTGAATGATTGGAAACTTTGAGTGTGCAAGAAATATTGGACTTTGTGTGGACACAGCTTCCAATGGCCCTTGATGGATTCTGTGTTAGTGGGCAAAAAGAAGCAAATGCTATCTTTTTGCAATTGAGTAAGAGATAACAAAAATGTTAAGAATGCTTAGATTATACTATTGCACTGAGATTTTTCCCCCACAAAAATGGGTGGGCAAACTTGGAAACATAATTAACTGTGTGATGTTTACATTACGCAAATAATCCACTTAATTTCAGAAGGAGCTGGATTGTTGTCTGAAGAAATTTACTTGTTTGGACAAGGCTAAGCTGCTAGACCAGTGCTTCCGAGAGTCAGCAGTGAGGTAAAAGCACAGCAGTTTTCAATGAAACAAAGATTGAAAGTGACACACCCCAATAGATTTTCAAGAAAATAAACTAGGTTAGCGAGAAAGAGCTAGTGAGTGCACTGGCTAAGAAATGTTCCTTTTGTTGAGAGGGATTAGATAGATAAATTCTAACAGTAGGTGAAATATCACTTTCATGATTCAAAAGCATTTACAGAGAAAGTGTTAAAATGCAGCTCTCACCTTTTATATATATGTTCCTATACTGCAGTGTGTACCCATGTTCTGGCTTGCATGTATGTGGGCACATTCTAGCCAAGCCTGCCTCTGAGTGTCCACAGTGTACAGCCTCACACAACCCTTGCCCTATAGCAATGTTCACACAGACGCTGCAGTTATGTGGGTTTGATGCTATGGTTTCTGGAAACGTATTCCAGTTTTCCTAATGTCTCACTATTTGGAGCCACTCTAGGAATCAGTTTGTGTGATACATTGTCTGTCCTTCCTGGGCCTGTGTGCAGAAGTGATTTCAGCCCACCAACTTATTTAGTTGAAGCACTTCCACCTCTACACGCTTCTCACTTCTGTCTGTTCCAGCTGAGGCTATGTCATGGATCCAGTCAGGGTGGATTTAATTTAAATCATGATTTAAATCCCGAGTCAGGAAGACTTGATTTAATCAAGAATTTCTACATAGAAGTGCATTCTTGTTGGTTGTTATAAACTTAATACATATTCTTCACAACTCAGAGATAGTTGTAGGTTTCATTTTTAGAAGGTACACACTATACATTTTTAAAGTGATTTATTTTGAAAACTTTTCGGATTAGTTTTACAGCTCTATCAGAAAATGAATGGTTGTTTGGTTATTTCATTTACCAAAGGTAATGGAAGCAGATAGTTCACCTCCCAATGACTTCATAAATATCTCCAATTCAACAAGTTAATCATTAATATTTGGAGGATTTCCTTGCCGTGCTGTATTAGGAGGAGAACATCACTAGACAGACATTTAATTTGTTTTATTTAACTAAAACAACACTGTTCTGTATTGTGGATTTTTTTTCTTCAACAGCAAACATGTAATATTTTAACAAAACAAGCATATGCATTTTTGAATTTAGTTAAAAACATTCAAGTTTTTAAAAATCAGGTTTGTTTATGTTAAATTTGGTTTTAACTAAAATAGTTAAATGAAATATATTTTTAATAAAAACATAGTAAATTGACGATGCCAGCAAGGTCAACAGGAGAAACTTAAAATATTGGGCTTCTGCAGCTAACTCAGTCGCCTTCACCTTCATTTTCCTGTTTGTTCATAATCTGGAAAAGAAAAACAAGCTTTCCTGCTTTTTCAGGTCCCAAATCATTTCTCAGTTTGGAAAGAATTAGTCCAAAGGAAGAAAATATTCTTTCTACATGGGCAGAAGAAGCTACTGCAGTTAAAAGTGAGATTATCACTTCAACAGTCTCTGAATCCAAGTGTTTAAGTGACTCCCACCAGTTCACTGGTGTGACTTTCTTTAAAACATCATCAGCAAACAAATATTTCTTCAGTGTTTCACCCTTAGCTGTGAAGTTTATTATAGTTGGCATTATGGAGGGATGATTGCTGGATGTCCAGGTCATAGCCAATTCCTCTTCTTCAGCAGTTAAGGTTTGACCCTGGTACCAAGTAGTGAGAATATTTTCAAGAAAATGACCTGAAGATAGTGCTTGTCCCATTTGTTTTTTTTAATGCTTATAATTTAACTCTGTCATTGCATATTTCTCTTTTTAAGAGCTCACTCAGTTCCTTCCAAATTTCAACAGCGTCAGCAATAAAACAG